TGTCAACCATGGGCCTCCACACTCACAGCCATGCATGTGCACATGTACCCAACACACATGCAAACATGCCTACACATGTGCACACATACAGCAAAGAGTGGGAAGGCAACCTAAGCTACATGATGAAAGTGATGATCATGTCGTTTGTTTAGTTCTTCCTTCATCATTTATGTGGCTTCCTTGTAGATAATGTGCTTTCTCACCCACTGACTTTGGACATGGGTGGCTCCAAATTGCCATGCCTATCATGAGATGCCATATCTGCTTGCTCCCTGAGCTCTGACCTTTGCCAGGAGGGTAGCTTATCTAAGATGGCCTTTCAGATGGGTGGTAACTGGCTTTAGCAAAGGACAAAGGGAGGTGGGGAGTGGGAGCCACGGGGGAAGAGCCCCAGAGAGAACTGCAGGGTGGGGCCAGGGGGAAGGGACACAGCATGCATGCCTTCCTGGCAGGCCCACCCCCTGAGAATCTCCATGTGTTAGTTACCTGGGAGCTGCAGGTTTAACTGTGGGATGACATGAGCTAGGCAGTTTAGTGAGAGTGTAGCTTTATCTGGGGGCCTTCAAGACATTTCTTTTGGAAATCAACTATTGATAACCCTTTGGGGATCTGGTGTCTATCACATCTTGCCTTCCCTTTCCCAACGTCATCCCTTTCCCTGGGCACCAGGAGGGTTTTACTATTTGAAGAGCATTCAGGTGAACCCAAATGTACCTGCCTCTGTATTGCAAACACCTTCTTAAAACAACACAATAGTTATTTCTTGGTGCCTGGACAACTGGTTCTTATTTCTATCCAGAATACTTTTTTTTTCTTTAGGTTTGGTTTTTTCAGATAGGGTTTCTCTGTGTCCCTGGCTGTCCTGGAACTCTGTAGACCAGGCTGGCCTTGAACTCACAGAGATCTGCCTGCCTCTGCTTCCCTAGTGCCAGGTCTTTCCAGAATACTTTTATTACACTTTTAATTAGTCTGAAATTCTCTTTTCCAAAATAGAGATTACAAGTGCTGGTCTAACTCTTGTACAACAATGGCATGCAGAATTGAACTATACTAGCCTAGTAGTTAAGGAGGTGACATCCTTCTGCCTCAGTGATGTAACGTGGTAATGTACAGAATCAAATGAAGAGCTAGCTCAGGGTTAGAAATAGCAAGCATTAAACCGAGTAACCTCCACACTGGCACATGTAAAGCCATCTGTTGCCTTGTTATTCCTATTGACCCAGGAGCCTTGAGCAAGCTCCTGTCTACTGCCTGGTCTGTTTATTTTATCCTGGGGATAAATCAGGATACATCTTTTATTGTTGTTAAAGAATGAACAAATATAAAGTACTCACCAAATTAATATTACATGTTTTTATGATTATCCACAGAATAGAATAATCTAAAGAAATGTACAGAAAACTGAAACTATTAACTAGTTAAAATTTATTATGACTTCATAAATTTGTTTTGAGACAGGGTTTCATATCACATTTGTCATATGTGTGTTTTGAGACAGTAATCCACAACATACCCAGACTGACCTAAAACACTTCTTCATTGGGTGCCTGAAATTCTGGGATTACAAGCATGCTCCACTGTGTCTGGTCCACAGCATCAAACACAAACACACACACACACACACACACACACACACACACACACACACACTGGTTATTCTTAAAATGTTTAGAAGCAGGTAACATAGGCTTTTTAGAAAACTGTCATGAAAACAAAATGCAGACACTCAGTATCTGTCATGGCTAAGGACAAATACTACTGTGACTGTAGAGAATAATGAAGTCATTTGAATAACTGCCCAGTTATCTTGTTCGTGGTTCACATGACAGAAACAAGTCACATTCACATACTCCAGTGGGTCTTTAGTGCAGGGATACCACATGATTTCTGAGCCTAGTAATAAAGTGCAGGATTGGAATCGTGCAAACACGATCCACAAGATGTCACTGTCACACAGACAGAGCACTGGTTCTCAACCTTCCTAAGGCAGTGACCTTTTGGTTCTTCGTGCTGTGCTGACCCCAACCACAAAATTACTTTTGTTCCTACCTCATAACTGTAATTTTGCTCCTGTAGGGATCGTAATGTAGGTCTCTGGAATACAGGCTTATCTGGTATGTGGCCCCTATGAGGGGGTCACGTGGCTCCCCACAGGGGTTGTAACCCACAGGTTGAGAACCACTGCACTAGTGGCACCAGCCCACGGGGATAAAATGTCTCCAGTGACCTGGAAAATGGAGTTTCCAAGTTTTCTTCTTGTTCAACTTCTTATTGTTGTCTTTTATTATTATATTGTCTTCTTATTATTGTCCATTATTGTCACCCTTAGTTTCAACACATTTTTCATCTGATAGTAAAATTGTTTTTTTTTTTTTACATGTTTACAGTTGTAGTCTAGGTAGCTAAAGTTAAAGTAGCTCATATGTTATAGAATCCATTTATATGAAATTAACTTCCACATCCAGCACACGTTTTCTGTACTAATAAAGCCTTTTAACATTTGAAATTTTATTTTAGACTTTACTGGAAAGATGAAGCCCAACGAAACACCTATGTTTGACCCAAGTCTGCTCAAAGAAGTGGACTGGAGTCAGAATACAGCTACATTTTCTCCAGCCATTTCTCCAATGAATCCTGGAGAAGGCTTGGTTTTGAGGCCTCTTTGTACTGGTGACTTGAATAAAGGTATGGGCCCAATTTAGTTTGCAAACCTGACTAGAAATCCATGCTTTCTTCCTAAGCATGATGCTAACTTAGAGAGTACTTGATTTTGTCCTTGTAATGACTGGAGCACTCAGTTGTAATAGGTATGTATCATGGAGGCAGGATACTCCTATGATGTATTTAAAATAACTAAATACAGTAGTACTCCTTCCAAAAGGATGCCTCTAAAACAAAAATGAAGTTATACTGTCCAAGCACATGGAAAAGAGTTTTCTCTAAGAAGCTAGATATGCAGATAATATTCACAAATTGAAGGGGTTTTATGTACTCCAATGTAATTCTTTAATATCTAAATTATCCAAAATAATTTTCTGAAACTTTGGTGATTTAAAATCAACATTTTACCAGACTATTTTCTTCTTCAGAGGTATTTGAGGAAGGTAACTTCGGTTAGAATTACTGCATTTTGAAAAATTAAGACTCGGGGCTGGAGTGATGGTTCAGAGTTTAAGGTCACCGATTGCTCTTCCAGAGGTCCTGAGTTCAATTCCCAGCACCCACATGGTGGCTCACAACCATCTATAATGAGATCTGACACCCTTTTCTGTGTACATAATAAATAAATCTAAAAAAAAGAAAATGTAAAAAGAGAAAAATTATAACTCAGAGTTCTCAATGTACTTTTAGCATTATTATTAGGGTCTTTTGTTATTGTTTAAAGACAGGGTCTATTTAGCCCTGGCTATCCTAGAACTCTCTATATAGACCAGGCTGGCCTTGAACTCAGAGATCTGCCTGCCTCTGCCGCCCTAGTGCTGGGATTAAAGACATGCACCACTACGCCTTGGCTGCATTAACTTTAGTAAATTTAGAAATTTAGAAAGTTGTCTCAACCGGGTTGTATCAGTTACATTGTAGCTTACAAATGATAATCGGTGGAAGTGAGAATCTTGCACTTCAAGTGTTAAGGAAAATGTGGTATCCCTTACATAAATCTTTAATAGCAATGAACAATGTATATGCTGGTTTTGTAATTATTGATAGTAAGGTCTGCATTATTCTAAAATATCATGCAAATATTGTTGAGAGCTGTCATTTGCTTTCTGATTATAAAAAGAATAGGTTGAAGTTTAATAAAAATAATGCAATAGGTACTTGTATGAAAATGTCCTTATGTAATTCAGTACTATATGCAATGAATGCACACTGCAGACTCTGTTGGAAATTTGCATGTTTAATCAACAAAAACTTGATTAAGGATTATAATGGAAACATGATTATGGAGTTTTGAAAAAGTAATTTCCTTAAACCTACCCAGTGAACATTTTACTTCTTTACATATTTTAATCATTCTTTTGCTTTTCTCTTGACTTGAAATGTTTTAAAACTAGGTTTTTTTAAGTTACTGGGTCAGTTGACAGAGATTGGCATCGTCAGCCCTGAGCAGTTCATGAGTAAGTACCATGGGGTACCTTGTCTGTATAGTTAGAACTCTGTTCAGTACCCACTTATTCAAAGAGCTGAAAATTATGAACTAGCAATCCTCATTTATAGAATCCTAATGTTTGAACGATACCTTGATAGTTACTGGGGGACCACTATAGGGTTACTTCCGTTTATTGTGGTTATCTCTTTCTATGTGGTTATGTTAAGCACAGAAATTACATTACGAAATTAGAAACAAACAAACAAAAAAACTTCAGTGTTTGTGTTCTGACAGCAAAAGCCATGGCTCAGTGGGTAAGAGCTCTGACTGCCCTTCAGAGGACCTGGGTTCAACTCCAAGTACCCATATGGCACCTCACAACTGTCTCCAATTCCAAGATCTGACACCCTCACACAGATACACATGCAGGCAAAATACCAAATGCAAATAACTACAAAAAAAAATTTATGTTCCTATTCTTTTTGTTCCTCAATGTTTAAAGGTTTGTTGGACTTAGGGTTGGCAGGCATCTTAAGAGTTAGTCTAACAATCCCCTTCCTGCTTTGAGACATGAGAAAATGGGTTCCCAGAGAGAAGCGTTCCCAAGATTACAGTTAATCACTGGAAGGACAGCAGGAACCTTCTTCTCTTCTTCAACACAGCCTGTTCCCATTTCCTACTAATGCCCTTCCTTTAGTAGGTAACTTCTCCAACCAGGCTACATGTAATGACATCTACATTACTGTTTAGTTTCCTTTATTGAATTTTTTTTTCCTACTTCAGACCTATATAGAGTGAGACTTTGAAACTAAACAGTATCTGAGAACTACATAACTTGGCTTTTAAACTCCTGGGGTTTGCATACATATCAGATTAGATGAAAATTGTAGTTTTCCCAGCAATATAAAGTGCTAAACATTATTTGCAGGAACACAGCTTTGCTTTTATTTGTTGTATAACTTTGGAAAAACTGCTTAAATGGGGACATATCTGTGTTATCTTTGTAAGGTGCTTTCAAAGCAAACAAAGATCCTATTTCTAAAAGAACAAACATGTAATCCTGAAACATAGGAAAAACAAACAGAAAACTGTTTTGTCAAAATATTTTGAAACCAAGACTGTGAATCGTGGATATAATAGGCTCTTGCTTCATCTTTTTTTTTAAAGATTTATTTATTATGTATAGTGTTCTGTCTGCGTATATTCCTACATGCCAGAAAAAAAAACACCAGATCCCATTATAGATTGTGAGCCAATGTTTGCTGGGTATTGAACTCAGGACCTCTAGAAGAGCTGCAGGTGCTCTTAACCTCTCAGCCATCCCTCCCACCCATAATGGGCTCTTGTAAAAACCTGCAGCTATGTTCTTTGAGTATTTTTGAGTATTAGTTTTAAATAAATGTATATTAAATCGGCAGATATTGACATTTAGTCACACAACTGGCTACATGTACTATTTATCTGTAATACAGTGTTGTTCACCTAAAAGACCCAAG